ATAAGCTGCAGCTGCCCCAAACAGACCCTAAATTACCAACTACAAGTGGGACAATGGAGATAATTAAGGGGTTAAGGGAATAGGGCCCAGCAGCTATAAAGTAGCATATTTAAAGGTCAAAATGCATCTGGGTTGAAAATGTATTAAGATAACTCACAAAACACCAAATAAACAGAAAGTTAGGCAACATGGAGTTTCATAATCTGTATAATTTCAATCAAACGGGTGTGATGGGGATTGAAGAATCTTACATTCCTTTCAGACATTGTACCATGAACAATAAAATAGGTAATGATGCAATGTTGTAACAGGTGTTGTGGTTTAAAAAAATAAATGTTATAAGTTTGGGTGATATATATATATATATATATATAAATATAATTTACCTTGAGGATTGATGTGTGCTAGAAAATTCGTGGTGGTAGAGTAATTGATTATCGTCTTAGCGTTGCGCGAGGATTTAACACACACTTAGATGAAAGAGAATCAAGTTGTGATGACACTAGAAGTTTTTACGTGAAAAACACATAAAGGGAAAAAACCACGGGATCTGACCCAGTTATAAAAATCCACTATAAGTGTCGGTGGGCATATGACTGGGTGAGGTTTAATTTAGGGTAATATAGTGTTTAGAAATTAGGTATTTTAATTTGAAGAAAATTGGGTTAAATTGATCTCATTGATTCTTATAGTTTGAATAATAGAGCTAATCACAAGTAATGTACCACCCTGAAAGGCAATACACTACTTGATAATAAGTTCAATTAAATAAACTATAGAAATAAAATGACTTCCGTTTGATCTGCAAGTTTGCATGATGACCGACAGATTCCTCTATTCGATATGAGAGTCAAATGGGGTTTATTTTAAGCCTGGGTTCTTTTAAGTTCCTTATAAGGGCAAGCCCCTATAGTTAATCACATCTTAAGCGAACAAATCACTTAAGAAAACTCTCGATAAAAATCAGGAATGTTTTGTTTTCATGAATTCAAAAAGAAGGGTTTTCAACGAACATGATTGTGAAATTTTCAATAGGGATTGGTTCAAATGTGAAAGATTTTGTTTTAAGAATCAAAGGAAGAAAAATAAGGGAGATTAAAGATCCAAAATAGGTTCTTAGTAATCTCCCGAACTATCCTAATGTTTGGATCAATTTAGGATGATATTAATTTAAGTTAACTTTTGCCAATTTTATTAATTAAGGCTTAGATTTGTGTAATGATGATTTACACAAAAAACCTAGAAAGATGGGAGGTTTTACGTCGAGTGACTACCTCAGAATCCTAAAATAAGTTAGGACATGCTCCATATTGGGACTATACAGAAGCCTAAAAAAGAGAGGTTTTATGTCATAAAAGACAGCCTTGGAATCATAAGGATTGTTATTAAACTAAAGAAATGGTCTTGAACGAGCTGCCCACGAAGTCTGCTACAAGTTCCATACTGAAATGTCTTAAGGACTTCAAGTCTTCAGGTCCTCCAATCTTATTATTAAAAGTTTTATTTATTTCAAAATTTTATAGTGAATTAATTAAAGGAGAGTGGAGGTACAGTTAAAACTTAGGCCAAAGCTAGGTTCACTTAAGCTAAGTAATTCCCTAGTGTTATGATTTTTTAGTGTTATGATTTTGTTATGATTTTTAGGTTCTCCCTAATCTAAACAACTTTTATTTCTTCATTATTTGTCCTTAACACATGCATTCTATGTTTGATAAAAACAGTAAAAACATACATTGAGATACAAAAAGTAATGAGTAGAGTAAATAAAGAAATAATATTTTATTAAATTTTTTATTTAAATTTTAATTATTTAATTAGTGGTAACCCAGTCAATATGTCTATGGCTTCGTCGTCCCGGGTCGCTCCGTCATCCCGGGTCACCGGATGCCCTAGTTTACTTAGTCCGAAAGGTGGTTGCCCACCAGGACCGAAAGATTCTTGTCAACATTTACAGAATGTATCGTCCAAGGAATCTTATTAACTAGAACAAAAAGGGGGTTTAAGTTGTGTTATATGATTTTTATGATTAAGATTTGATTAATTCTTGAATTACTTCATCAATTTTAGGGTTGAAATATTTTAGGTTGTTTACATCTTTTTGTCGGATTTTAAGTGTTCTATTTTAGTTATTTTTGTTCACTTGTTATTAATTATGTGAAGTTGACGACTTCGAAGCTGACTTAATCTCAAAGCCATGCTTTAAAGCCTTGTTGTATTTGTTTTAGTTTAAGTTTAAGTTTTAATGTGTTTTATGTAAATTTTACCCCTCCCAATTTATTTTATTTTATTTCTTAATTGATGTTCAAGTTGAGGGGTTTAGGTTTAACTTAGGCTTAAGGTTTTACCTAAAAGGTTCTCATGTGTTCAACCCATGGATTAGGTTTTTAACCTAAGGTTTAGGGTACCTTTAACTTAAGACTAAGCTATGATTTATGTTTGTTTTACCTAAAGATTAGGGTTGGATTAGGGTTAACTAACCAAAGGCTTAGGTTAACTAATCCTATTGATTTAAGGTTATTTTAGTTATTACTTATTTAGTTATTTATTTAAGTGTTTTATTTTAGTTATTTTTGTTCACTTGTTATTACTTATGTGAAGTTGACGACTTCGAAGCTGACTTAATCTCAAAGCCATGCTTTTCTTTTAGTTTAAGTTTAAGTTTTAATGTGTTTTATGTAAATTTTACCCCTCCAAATGTGTTCTATCTTATTTTTTAATTGATGTTCAAGTTGAGGGGTTTAAGTTTAACTTAGGCTTAAGGTTTTACCTAAAAGGTTCTCCTGTGTTCAACCTATGGGTTAGGTTTTTAATTTAATGTTTAGGGTAGGTTTAACTTAAAACTAAGCTACGATTTAGGTTTGTTTTACCTAAATATTAGGGTTGGATTAGAGTTAACTAACCAAAGGTTTAGGTTAACTATTCCTATTAATTTAATGTTAACTAACATAGGGTTTGGGTTAACTAATCCTATTGGTTTAAGGTTAATTAACCTAGGGTTTAGGTTAACTAATCCTATTCATTTAGGGTTAACTAACCTAAGGTTTAAGTTTACTAATTCTATTGGTTTAGGGTTAACTAACCTAGGGTTTAGGTTAACTAATCCTATTGGTTTAGGACTAACTAACCTAGAGTTTATGTTAGCTAATTCTATTAGTTTAGGGGTAACTAACCGAAGGTTTAGGCTTAGCTAATCCTATTGTTTTAGGGTTAACTAACATAAGGTTTCGATTAATTAATCTTATTGGTTTAGGGTTAACTAACCTAAGGTTTAGGTTAACTGATCATATTGGATTAGGGTTAACTAACTTAAGATTTAGGTTAACTAATCCTTTGAATTAGGGTTAACTAATCTAAGGTTTAAGTTAACTAATCCGATTGGTTTAGGGTTAATCAACCAAAGGTTTAGGTTACTTAATCCTATTAGTTTAAGGTTAACTAATCTAAAGTTTAGGCTTAGTTAATCCTATGAATTAGGGTTAACTAACTTAAGGTTTAGGTTAACTAATCCTATTAGTTTAGGGTTAACTAAACTAAGGTTTATGTTAACTAATCCTAATGTTTAGATGACTAATCTTAGTGGTTATGATCACTAATCCTAATGGACTAGGTTAAGGCTAACCTAAGATTAAGGTTTAAAGAAACCTAAGATTAAGGTTTAGTTTAGGATGAACCTAATATGTAGGTTAAACTAAACTAAAGTTCATGTTGATTAACCCTAAAATCCAAAAAGTTTAGTATAAATTAAATGATAGGATGATTTAAATTTCAAGTTTAAAATGATCCAACTATTCAAATTGGACGCAACTAAAGGTTAAGTTTTCTCAGGTTAGACTCGGTCTAAAGGCTGGCTGGCCTAAAGCCCTAAATGACTAAAATTGGAGTTAATGGGTGATTGACTCAATCCTTGAGTTAGCTGACCAGGTCTATAATCAGGTTGAACAGGACCTAAAGAGAATTGGCTAGGTTTGACTTAGGTTGAGCTTGGGTTATGTA